ACACTTTGAAGATATTCTTGATGTTTACCCACCATTGCTTTGATTATCAATATTTGCTTACATTTTTTGATATTGCTTTTGGTATTATGTTGATTGGCCTTTGAACTGAACCACTAAGAAAAAATTTATGGTTTGAACCAAATTGAGTTCATTTAAACCATTACTGCCGTAGAGCATAACTCATATAAGTCCTGTGTCGAGTTAGATGACAATGTCACGTAGCCCCAGTTGCTCTTATAGGACTATGGATAGTTTTAGCAGGTCAACGCTTTATGAGGTTTGAGCATCTGCGGTTGTGCATGAATGCGCATCAGCCTCACAGTGTTGACTCGAACAACGTTCATGCCACCAACAAAGGCTTAGTAAACCGCAAGACTTTCTCAATGCTTGCCTTTGGACTACTGTTTGAATAGTCGAACACCTATTTTCGTTTTCTTCCGACACTGCTTACGATGCCTTATTGGTTTATCATTAACTGAACCACAAAGAAGATATTTTCCACGTTTGAAAACCTATGTCCAAAACAAAGCAGCCATGGTCGGTGCTGTTCAGTGATTCATACACTGAGGAAGTAAACACTCACAAATGGATGTGTACAGCTTCCTCGATTACGCATATAACTAAAGAATCAAGATAGCATAAGATCAAAGGAAGATGAAATCTTCCGCCTTCAATTTTGCAGCATTATACTTTGCATTTTCCTCTTTCCTTTCGCGTACTCGTTTGTAATCACTCAGCTTCACTGCTGTAGATCAGCCTGCACTCTTTGGTTATTGTAGCGAAATGCCATTTTGTGAAAGGAGAAGACGGGGGCTGTCATTCATGCTGGTCACATAACGGCAGCTACGATCCTATGACCTTCGGGATTCGGCGATTTGACCTCTCGTGAGCTTTGCCATTGGAAGGTGCCATAAACAGCGTTCCATCACGAAAGTACAAAGAAAACGCTGCAGAGGTTATAAACGCTTCTCCAAATTATTTACTATCATTAACACTGACTAATGTTTATCACGGCCACATATACCACTGCTAAAGATATTAAAATCAATAGGAAAATTTTATTTTCTGACCGATGTTTCTCATGCCACATACATAGTCAGTGTATACAATTGCAACTGATCACCAAGTAGACTTTTCCCACGAATGTCGTTGGTTCCTAATATAGGGCAATAAGATCTCTTTGGAAAGTGTTTTTCGAAAGGCATTGAATTGGCATCAGGTCAGACAAATCAATATTGAGCAATGTATCATTATAAGTCGCAAACCTTTGAGGCTTCTCCGAAGGATTGCTGCAGTACTATTGAAATCGTCGAAACAGTGCCATCCGCACCCTTGCTTGTGTAACGCTCGTTCTACGTACCGCGATGGTTTGGACACGTGATCGATCAAGACCCAAAAATAGAAATGAATAAGACAGATTCTTTTTAAAGCAACGTTGCAGAGTCGCGTTTACGAATGCAACCGGCGTAACTTGACTAAATGGCGAAGAGTAGGGACCATAGGTAGAAAGCTTCATGACGCTAGGGCCATCTCAATCCAGAAAGAATAACGGACTTCATAAACGGGGTGGGCATAAAGTAAAAACTATCGCCAATAATTCTTCAACAGTGAGATTGTTCTGATTTCGCTGTTTAAGAATAATCTGGGGACATGCGTGATTCCGAAGCGGTATGAATCTAGTCTCAACGGCTCAGCGCAATAGTTCCATGATGCATCGTCATAAACGAGCAGCCACGCTGACCAGTGGGGCCAGTGCCCGGCTTAGTTCCCGAAAGATGTGCTCAAACGTTTCTCTCGTGAGAACTGCCCACTTGTCATAGAGCATTGATAAACCAGTGCAAAATGCGATCTTTCGGAGGCATCAAGCATCTCATAACGAATGTACACGACAATTTGAAACGCTCAGGTACTTTGTCATTCAAACATTATTGGACTTGACGGCATCAAAACTGCACTCTTAGAAGCGAAAATGATAGATTCACAGGGGTACAGTATGATCGAGGTTACTTGCTGATGCTCAGGCGTAAACTGATGATTAGGTAGGAGGGAAAAGTGACGCAATTGGTTGTCATGTACCGAAGTTCGAGTCCAATGCGTAACGTAAAATTTTCGATTTAGAGCTGCTAATTTACTTGAACGAAAATTCACTCCACTGTGCATCAAAGCAACCAATCGAAATGCGGAGTTTAAGTAGCTAATGTGCGAACAGTGCGGATGGCATTTCGTTGTGCGGCCCATCTAGAGCCTGCGCATGATGGCTGCTTTCGTCCTTGGTCCATGTGACAGCTAACTAATATTATACTCAATGTATAATCTGTAAAACGTTTTAAAAACTACAAATCGAAACGCTGGATGGATGGATTGAAGAGTTAAGTCATTTTCGGTTATTGTGCCCCCAAAATGTATGTTTTGTTCACCCCTGATCATCAGTCCTTCATTATTATTGAAAATGTAAACACCTGCAGTAATTGTTAAATTGTCGTAGTTGAAGAGATGAACATGCTCCTTCAATTATGATAAACTCTCTACGCTCTAATGATAAAGAGAATTTTTTTAAGACTACCGAGCTTTCGTATCGTGTAGTAATTAGAAGGATGGTGACGATATGAAGATAAGATTAAAAAGAGTTCTTGTAGCGATGGCATATGTAAAGGCAGAGAGAGAAGCATTAAAATGGACAACTGGCTCAAAACTCCAAATTACCGCTTCTAAATAAAGACGCTTCAATGGTTCAGTACACAGCGAAAAGACAAATGGTAAATTCTTTATCATAACTGGCGACACGTCAGCAATGGAGCATTATCCATTTTCAGAAAGGTCCTGAAATTCTAAATATGACTTTGCCAACTGACTATTCGTTGTGTCACTGGAGTGCCTCGATGACAAAAAACACAGAATTGAAACGAGTTATAGAAACTATTGTAGCGGTTCTGTCGTATTTATGCTGATGGATTACAGAATTAATGTCCATAAAATTGTGCGACGAAGATTTCTGAAATACGACTGTTCATTTAAATATCTGTTCCCAGGTTGCCCTAACTATTTGTTATTTTATTGCACAAAATCGAGTTATCCAAATCTAACTGTAAAATGCAATTAAACTTGGTTCAAAGGTAGTAAACATAAACGCAAGTAGATTGAGTACAGTGAATACTTCATGAATATCAGAATGCGTGTCAGATAACACGTTACTTTTTCAAGGCCACATTTCACAGTGTAATGCATCGCTCCTGTAATGTAATTTTACAGCTCCTAGCTACCAAGGGTCCATTTGAGCCGACCACGGCTCCATGGTGTTTTAGCACCAACAGTGCTAAATGTTCTGAGCTTCGGCCAAA